CCCCAAAACCCCAAAACCCCACCAGTATTATTTTAGGAGAAATTTTGATAAACAATAATATACTTTTAATCTATAATAGATAAAATGATGGATAAAAATTTCGAGATAGAGATCCCCACCTATGGAGAGGCTAAAGTTGATAGTATTAGTGATTTTTAAAAAAGAAAAATGTCAAATGATGCTAACCTCACTAGGGATTCCGTTGATTCATAACAAGAATATGTGTAGAAATAGGTCATATACGATCCCAATAAAAATCTCTCCTGCTTTGAAAAGCTTTTAAGGAGACTCAATATTGATAGACTATCAGAGTTAGAGGATGGACCAGGAATACATAGAGATAGCTAAACTCTCATGAAGTAAATGGAGCAAATGAAAGGGGTAACTAAATGCATATCTCTCTCGTTATTGGTATTGTCTGTTGTCTACCTTTTTACTAGAATTCAAAGTTATTATGAGCTTTAAGCCTACAAGGAAAAAAATAGCAAATCATTAATCGGAACTAATGCATTTAAATATGAAAATATTGAATTGCTTCACTTTTTCACTATTGCTCATAGCTTTACTTGTGTAGTGATATCTTCATTCGTATATATGATGCTTAAAAAGAATACATTCATTGATAGAAGGTAGTACTACTTCGTATTAGGTATGACAACTATAGTCACCCTGCTATACTTTTTTGCAATTCTTTATATTGTCTATCGCAGCACTTACGTCACCTCTAATTAATATAATGCAATTATAGTATTTGAGAGTGTATTAGACATTATTGGAAGTATTTCCTCAAATCCACTCTCATTCTTATTTGCCTTAATGATGAATTTCGTATTATTGTTCGGAATATTCTGTCTTAACTTATGCTCAATATATCTAGCTGATATAGCAAGAGCATTAGAATAGAAGCGTACTGGTGGAAGAAGGCAAAATGAGTTGGAATTGAATAGCTTAGTTAAGATGTAATGGAATAATAAACAGATTCAAAAAGAGGAATCTGCTTGAAAAAATGCAAGGATCTTGATTTAAAAATGACCATTGAATAATTTATTTTAATTACATTGATAGCTCTTTAGTGTTTAAGACAAGTTAATTATTAAACTAATTTTAAGATATAATAATAAAATCATCATAAATAAAATGTCAAACGATTTAAATAGACATTAAGAATTCCAAGATAGATCTGATTAAAAAATCCTAGAATAAGAGATTGTTGTGATTGACCAATAAATAAATACTTCAGATTCAGGAAATGCATAGCAAGAGCCAGATATGAAGAAAGAATTACTTGAGTTTATGAAGGATCATGATAGTACTATTAAGATTCAGAAGTCTTAGGAAGTATTTAAAAATGACTTGAGGGAGGCATTAAAGGAGCTATAGCTAGATTAAGGAGAGGAATATTATTATCAAGAGTATAAATAGGCTAAGCTAAGTCCAGTGAAAATAGCTGTTTGTTATGGAGGAGTAGCATTTGGTGGGTATATTCTTCTTAGCACAGCCCTTAACAGGAAAAATATGACTAGCTCTATAAGACTTGGTAGATATGGATTAGGAATGGGACTTATAGTGTTCAATTTAGTTCATTTAGCTAGAAGTCAATTTATCTAGCGACCAAAACCCTAGAATTAGCAAGATAGAGTTTGAAAAATGAGTATTTAATGCTTCAAAAATTTATAGATTCTCAAATAATCATTACAAATGTTTTGCTTGGGGTTTTGGGGTTTTGGGGTTTTGGGGTTTTGGGGTTTTGGGGTTTTGG